TTAGTGCTCACTCCCCAGCTTTATCATGTTTTTCAGGTCAGGATGTCGGGCCGGGAGCGTGACGTGGCGTGACGGGACATTCAGGATATTTATATATGTTTTGGACTGTGTAAATATGATTATAACTTACGCTTCCGCTATATTTTGATAACTTTTGACGATGTTTGTTGTTTTGACGAATTTTTAAGAAAATTAAGTTTTTAATAACCGGACGTTTTTTTTATTAAATAAAAACAACGGTTTTCTAAGTTAAGTCATGATTTTTCACGGTAGCACCCCGAATCAGTTTTCGCAAAGTACAAAGGTTTTGTTTTTAAATAACTTTGCGAATTATTGCGCTACTCTGATTTTTATAGTAAGGAGGGGTGTTACAAAACTGGCTTTACACAAAATTACAACTTATCAATTGATAGTGGGCCCCACATACAAACCAAGTTGAATTCACGAATGCACACACATAGTTCTGCCGACACAGGCCTAGTGCCTCCGTCTCCTACGGCCGCCGCCGCCCTGTATATACCAGCCTCTTACTCCCACGCACAACCAGTGACCGCCAAAGTCTAACATGTTCACACCAATGCTCGTCACTTGGCGTCCCGTGTCTTTCTCATCACGTTCTCCGCTGCAGCAGTTGGATGTCTCCCGCCCATCTCCATCGTCGCGGCCTTCAGAATTGACGGGAATCGGAATACCTATGGTCGATTCCCTAAACATGGATATGGCGGTGGCGGGACAAAGTCGGTGGTAAAATGGAGCTTGAACATGGCTTCAACTACGTCCGACGGCAGTGCCTTCAACTTATCCCTGTGTTGCGGTGGACGCGACCACCTATCAGAATGACACCGCGAGATTGAAGATGTTGTTGAAGGAGACGGTCGTTTGAAATGGGGGAGAGATGTAGAGTTTTTTAAAAAAAAAAAAGATAAGAATTAGAATCTTTTTTGTAATATTTAAATTTTTAATATATTGCACTTTAGGACAATTTTGCTCAATATAATATTACATAATAATAATACATAAAATGCACAATATCGTGTAAGAAACATTCGCAAAAATCCCTTCTTAGACTATGGTTGTTAAAACTAGCTGATAAGCTAGTTTATAACTTATCAGTAATTTTCGAGCTTATAACTTATGACTTATAGCTGAAAAGCTAGTTTATATGATAAAAGTGTTTGGAAAAATTAGCCGATAAGCTAGCTAAAATAAAAATTCCATCGAGATTATCTAAAATCTACCTAAACAAGCTTATGAGATAAGTTTGAGTTTTTTAAAAAGCTCGTTCGACCAAACGAAACTTATTTAAATACAAGAAGCTTATAGGCTAACCAGGTAAGATAAAAGCTAGCTTATTTGTCTATCAACCATACCCTTAATTTTTTTTATAAAAAAAATATACAGTTCTGCTAAAAAATAAAGCCGGTATTGAATTGAAAATTTAGAAGTAAAATCATATAATCAAACCAATATATAAAGATTTGAACCTAAATGTTTGATCGTTCGATTTTCGAACGCTATTTTACAATCTGACAGACATTAATGTACAGTCTAACACTATTGTGCACGGTTTTGATTGTTATTGTGCAGTATGTCCGAACTTTTATCACAAACCAAATTGAAATCCGTTTACTTGGTTTATTCGGTCGATTAACTGAATTACCCTAAATAATCAAAATAATTTATTAATTATTTTATAAAAATGTATTTAGTATTTTAATAATTTTATTTAATATATTTATATTATTTTTAGATGAATAACCATAATATATGAAATACTGATATCGATAATGTGCACAAGAACAGACATTATTGTGCATTTAGTCTAACATTATTGTGCAGTCTATTGAGCGGGTATTTTTTATTTGCATCTCAATTTTACACAGGTTCGGAGGAATGGTTCTGAGATATTGAGGCTCTCCTGTTGGTCAAGTTACTCGTGCCTCAACTTTCAGTCGAGCTATGTTGTGCACTCTATACTCCCCCTAACTATAGAAAGAATCTCCACTATAGTTCTATCACTTGTGCGGTCTCATGGTACATTTATGTAGGAGAGTTCCTCACACTTGAATAGTTTTCGACTACATTTCTTCCTTGACCTGTGAGAGTCTCGATAAAGGAACTAATGCCACGATCTCCTCTAGGGCCTAATTGAAGTAAATGTACCATTGGAATTGTGAAAAAATAAAAGAAAATCTGTTGGATCTCATTCAATGGAATATTTTTATTGCAATTCCTGTTGAAATCCATTAAAATAAAAATCGCCGAAAATGATAATATCAGAATATCCATCAGAAATATCGTTGGAATTCCAACAAAATATATTTTCTTCGTAATTTCATCATTTTCTTGTCTTGTAGTGTGATGATCCTCATGAAACTCATTCGACTGCAGAGTCGACTTTCTTTCATATCTAAATGAAGTGACACCAATTGCTCTACTTAATTGAATCATTGTCTACTAGTACAACGCCCGTGTATTACACGGGTGCTTGCTAATTTTTTTTTAAAATAAAAAATTATTGAGAAAAAGTAGCTGAAAATTTAAATACCTTATATATATATATATATATATATATATATATATATTATTATCATTATTATACATTTAGTATGACACTTTTTATTTGTTCGGTATAATTTTTTTTTTTTAACTTACAACATATAACTACATTAAACATAAATATGTCAATTGAGAAATAATTTTATTTTGTTAATGAATTATAATAAATATTATTATTTTTTATTATTATAAAGATAAATATAATTTATTTACTTCATATATACAATATGGATGTCAAATCGAAGATCATCAAAAGATGATTAATTTGATATATTATATATGTAAAATCGATAAAAAATACAAAAGTTATCAACTTTTAAAATACATTTACAATTTAATAGCTAATTGAATGAAACAAATCAAAAGTCAGGGATATATTAGTCACTTAGTGTCTCACTATGTAAAATTACAAAGAACTAAAGGGTTATATTAGTACAAGTGATATTAAAATACCTAAGTTAGCTAAATAATATTTATGGAATGTTCGAACCTAGATTATTAATAATTAATATATCAATATTATTTGTCCAAACCTAATTACGAAGCATGATTTTTCGCCAACTAGGATTCCGAAGCACCAGAAACAGCCACGTAGGCTCAGCGCATTCGGGAATTATATATAGGGAGGATGTCTTTGTGATGTAGAGGATGTATACGAAAGGGAAAGAAAAATCTCAAGAGAGAACAAATAATTTTTATTCAATCGATAAACTGTCTTTTCTCTTCTGTTCGCAGTACATAAATAAGGAGTTTCCACTAACTCCACTAACGCACGATAAATCCTAATAATTAAAGAAACACCCCCATACTAATAAAATAACACAATTGCAACCACTAAAGATAAATAGACCCCAAAAGGAAAATAAAGCAATAAAATAAATGTGCTAGACACGCAAACGGTCATATTTCTGCAAGAACATCAACGCGGCCTCGTCTCCATCATCCTCCCCGGGTTGAGGAGGATTCGCCCTCGAATCCGAATGGGCTTCGTCTCCGTCCGAGTTGTCACCCTCGAATGGCACCAAATGCTTGACGTTAAAAACGTCGGAAGTGCGAATATGGGACGGAAGCTTGAGGCGGTAGGCATTGGGATTGATCTTTTCCACAACCTCCATCGGACCAATTTTTCGAGCAGATAATTTATTATACTCATGAGCAGAAAATCTATCCTTCGTCAGGACAGCCCAAACAAAATCACCTACCTCAAACTCCACGTGGCGACGACGAGTATCAGCCTGCTTCTTATAAGAAGCCGTAGTCGCCTCCAGCCGGGCCCGGGCTGCCTCGTGTGTGTGCTACAAATCGGCGATGAAATCCGAAGCACGCCGATTGCCACTGCTGCCGGATGGAAACGCCACTAAGCCGGTCGGCCCGCGCGGATGGATGCCATAGACCACAAGAAAAGGAGTGAAACCGGTCGCACGGCTAAGAGCCGAATTATGCGCGAACTCCGCCTGACTCAGGCGCTGGTCCCAACTGCGAATGTTATCCCCCACCAAACAACGTAGCAAGTTCCCTAAGGAACGATTCACCACCTAAGTCTGACCGTCCGTCT